ATAAACCATGACGTAAATAGTACACGAGATGTTTTCTTTCCCTGAGCACAAAGCCAAGTCTAGCAATAACGGTAATTCTAGCAAAATGACAATTTTCTGTACCTAAAATATATCCTATAAATCAAATTAGGAATCCCCAATAATATCATCAAATGGTGAGAGCAAATCAATTACTAGTTCATTTCTTGATCAGTTTGTTAATTTTGAACATATAGCTTCACCACAGCCTTCGTTCAGTGCCATGTAAAAAGTCAAAAAGAACAGTTCAAACTGAGTGCGCTTTCAGAATTTGCCCACAGAAGCAGCGACAGCACTGGTAGTTCACCAATACAAGCCTGAGTGAAAAAGAAGTATGTTCACTTTCCCATCTTGCCAAGACCTTAGTCCTTCCATGTTTTCAATTTCACTATGATTACTCAGTTTACCATTCATCGTATAAGGTGTCAAAGTTTTTCCAAGCCATACAGTTCACTGTTAGTCAGGACACGCTCAGTTTACTATTATCACCTTCAATTTGACTGTTGTTTCTTTCTTCACCTTCTTAACAGCTATCGAGTAGACACTCCACCATCGCATTTCACATCGATTAATAATTTCCACCTTATCAAACTCCTTGCCTTTCTAGCTATTCTCACTGTCTGATAGATTATTTTACAACTTATCTGCGATCTCTATCTCATTTCGAACACTACTCCAATGGCGCAACCATATCACAATATTAAATAGTGAACTGTCATATGTTTGTGATATATATAAATACGATTGCACGGCTCCAGGAAATGAAATCATCAAAAATGAAATTTTCTTTGCTAAATTATCGCTTCTTTTCACTACTGAATCAATTGTACTGTGCATTACGGAGACAAGAATAAGCAATAATGTAGATGTCCACGTCCGTGATTAACTGTGGGGATCCTTTGAACTCAGTAGTTTAGTATGTTCAGTAATAAATGCCTACAGCAAAGAATAACCGGTATATATGTACATGTCAAGATAACGAACAGAAACTGACAATAAGGTGGAAATAAATTTATCAAATTTCTGATAAACAAAGTGAATCACATTTAAACCTAGCACTTTTAATAAAAAACAACAGTTGTTAGAGAAAACATGAAATCAGAACGTTGTATCAGGCAACAGAAGAATTAGACTTGCATAGAAGTAGGCAACTGAAATTCGTAAAGGAAATATGTTGACTATTCAGCTGACATTCAGTTAACTAGAATAAATCATCTCAATTCTAGTAGACTGTTTTTCGTATCTTTTTTTAATCAGTGATTTTATGAATATTTACTTGACTGGACCACTTACAATGCTTCAGAAAGACAACCAAACCTAATATGTAAATAATATTGTCTCTATAATCGGTATTTAACACAACCCTATAGACCAGTGAAAAGTTTTTCAATATCCAAAGTGGTAGTTTATTTAATCCAGTCTGAATGGTGGTGAAAACAATAATATAATAAGCTGTAGTTTACATACAATGAATTTAATACCGGAAATGGATACGAAAGGAGAAATATCTATCGATTCTCCCCATAATGTTTCTTTATACACCATGAAACTGACCTTAATGTTGACATATATTGCAGATGAAATCACTATTAACAGAAAGAATTTTGAAAGAGACTTCTCAACTAAGTCTTCTGATTTTAAAAAGTAGCTGAATTCAGATTAGAAATATGCAGAAATTTGTTGACTAAGTACTGTACAAAAGAATATTTGACCAGGATATGTCTAAATATAGGATTTCATAAGACGCGGAGAATCAGCAGAAAAATGTTATTCTCTTGACCAGTCTAGAAATGGATTTAATTAGACCACCTAAAATAAACTGCCTCATTATTGGATTTCAACCAAATGTTTCCAGCTTACTGACATGTGATTTTATCTATCGAGCAACAAGGCTTGACTGGTAAACAGATTTTAATTCCACCTTAACCAGAAAGCGTTGTTTCCAACCTTCTTGTGATCGATGAATACACAACTGCTTGTATTTTGTGGCATAGGTCTACTCAACCTAAAGAAAACTTATAAAACAATACGTTGATTTGTAGGTATCTCATCCATATTTCAACATGCAAGTCGCGACTGACATTATGTTGAGTTTTAGTCAGGAGTTCTATTCCTTAGATTATCTCAGTAACCTATAGACTGCTAGTTAAAACTCACTTGAGAAACAGGTTTTCTTATAATTTCATTAATTTGCCGTACACGTAGTATACTTTAGTGGTCTACGTGAATGAAGAAGTATCCTTCTTTATTACTGCTATTCTGTCACCCACACTTATATGATATCTATAATGTCTCTTAAAAATGAACGATAACTCTATGAATAATTGAAGGACAACATATATTTTCAGTCTTAAATTTATCTTTATATTAATTTTGTTATCATTATTATTACTATTCTTATTGAAACAGCTACCTTTTAGTCCTTAGAGCACTTCCTGTACATTTAAACTCTCGGGTAGACTACTTCATCCTTATCTGCATTCTAGATTTGACTATTTTTTTCAGAAATCTCCATGATTGACGGGCAAAAGTAACAGTGGATGTACTATTGGTTCAGTGAGGTATATGAATAAGTGGATAAAGAGGTAGTATTACGGAGAGATTACATCCTCTATTATTCCTCCCTTAGCGAAACTTCATCTACATTTCTTAGTTATGAATGGATGAAACTAATACATAAGAACAGACATCAGTACCGATAACATTATACCTCTGAAAGGTATTTTTTCCTTTTCTCTCTAGTTATTTTTTCTTCTAACTTCCTCTTTTATTTTACTAATCAACAGGAGTGTAAACAGTTTTTAGTAAGAGCAGGAAGTTAGAAATACCTTAAGGATACTGAGGACTGTCAGTTAACTAACTGCTTCTTTTTATCTGATACATAAATGTATTTAAAATATTCATACAAGTGCACAGATATGTACAACGGAATGTAGATTCTTCTTTTACAGTACACAGAAACAAATAAATCCTAGACTTCATTTGCTATCCTTCTGTTCGAAGTTTACATTTCCGCTTCTTTATGCTGAGAAACTTGTTGGTTGAACTAGGTATAAGCAAGCAGCTAAAATGATGTACCCGGTTCGACTCTTGTGAAACAGATAAAACAATTCTTTTCAACTTCATTAATTGTCATGGTAATGGGATTGGTTGCAGGCATACTGTTGAAATTTTCCGAATATGCACAAGTGAAGAGAATTTCCTCATTTTATGTTTATCTTGATACTTAGTAGTGGAATCCAGGCTACGCGCTTCGTCCTATTTGGAATTCGTCAACCGGATTTGTCTGCACACTAGTGATTGATGCTGCTTCCACTAGGACTTGAACCCAGTATCCATCGCTTCAAACGCCAAAACGTTATACGCCAGACCACTTAGGTACGTTAGTCACCTCTTGTGCAATGAGTATCAGTTGTTGTTTTGAGACTAATAATTTTCTGTTTGGTATCTGTAATCAGCATTCAGTGTGCAACAACCTCCTGATATTTATGAAATGAGATACCGAATCAGCATTCCAGGCTAGAATAACTCTAGCTCAGACACTCAGCTTAACTTTTCGACTGAATCTTCTTTTAATAAAATCTTTAGTTCTTTTACTTCTCTTCAATATGAGACTCAATTTAACTGTGCAATAATCCACCTTTTTGTGAATGAAACTTCAGTTAACTTTGTCAAACAGATTTTTGTAAAGTTCTGTAACAATAAACTTAAACAAGTTTAACTATAACCATTAAAGTTTTAATATTTTACTTCACTCATCGATGATGACTCAGTAAGCCGAAATAGGATTTATAAATTTAGTTTATTTGTATTTTTTTTTCTATATAACCGTTTTCCTTAATGATTTTCACTGAAAGAAAAAGGGAGCAGATTTGCCGAATGAGGTAAGCACAAAGACTAAACAGCATGAAGTTGGTTATCCTACATTGACCAGACGGGTGCATACAATCCAGTTCTTCAGGAGATCAGTCGTAGCCCATAAACCTCTCTGGTAGAGTCTTCGATTGTAGACAACTCAAAACAACCTATTAACATTGGTCAGTGAGGTATTTATTCTACTCAAACAATATCCCTAATTACCTCAATGTTATTTCGATTCAGTATCCTTATTATCCCTATCCCTATGTATGTGCACAATATTTACAAGCCATTTTCCAACGGGCTTCGCTCAGCCCTATCTTCTTAGGTATGCTCTTAGCTATCATCTTTTAAATCATTCTGAATCCAGAAAAAGCATTAAAGTTTCCAGGTTCATATAAAAAGAAGAATAGTAAATAAATCTAAAACATTGAAGTACGTGAATTAATTGATTTATGGCTTGCAGTAATTGGTAAATAGGTTTTTTATAAAAATCATACATAAGCTATTACCTGACTGATGTGACAAAATATCTCTATAATCCTCCATCTGATGTCGGTCTGTGATGAATATCAAACTGAAATCAACAAATAAATCTCCACAAACCCCGAAAATGAGTTACTCTAGTGCTTATTAGCGACCTGCTTCGAGATGATATTCTTGAATTTCTAGTCAGAAGTCATGATTAGTGAGGGCAACTAAGTTAAGCGTGAGGACAGTTATTCAACGATGGCATTGGATGGAGGTCACACTATATGGTGAAATCACAAAAGTAAGAAATACAAACCAATGGATTCCGAGTCAGTGGCTCAGTTGTAACGTGCTGGTCAGGGAACCCGAAGGTCCTTGATTTGATCTCTGGTGGATACACTCATGGGTGTGCATTGCTTAGAAGGAAACAGCTATCCAGTGCCCCCCAGATTACCTGTATTTCTTCAACTTATGTTTGTCAATGCTAAATATTGACCTGAAATCAAAATTAATAAGGTTATCTCCAGAAAGGATAAACTATGAATCAATTCTTTAGGGTGCTTAATTGATTTCCAACTAAGAAGAGTAGAATTTCCATTTATGCTTAAATTTCATTCAGTAATTTTGTAAGTGACTTCAGCACAAAATAAACTATATCTTGTCATTGTATATTGATCAAACTAGAAGAAAGACACAGACGTCAGTTTACGTCTGTCAACTTTGAGAAGATAAGGAGGAACATATGAAATTAACACATCACTACATCATATTTAATTAAATTGATAGCTTGCATCAATGCTATAAATTATGTATGAATTAAAAATAATCAGTCAACAACAGAAATCATTTATACTTCTTAATTTCAATAAAAATCAAAAAGAAAACTCCCATATAAGAAGTAAGGTTGAAATTAATTGTTTGTTTCAATATTGTTATTATTTTCAAAATATTAAGAAAACAGAAACCAGAGAAAACTTCAAAATTTAATTTTTATAATGAATCAACATAATAATATATAAGTACATTAAAATGATTCAAGTTAATTATTGAAGTCAGTGTTCATATTTTCAGTGAACCAAATAAACAAACAATCAATGAACAGAATTGATACTTTAAAGACAATAAACAATCAATTTTTAAAGAAAAAGATATGAGATATGATTTTGAAAGTGATCGAATAATTTTTATAAAGATATACAAATACATTAAGTTAGTTTGTTTAGTGGTGTTATTCTGAAATACTTGAGCCATCACTGTTTTCTTCTAAATCAGGACGAACTCGAACAGAGTGGTTATAAAGACCTTCAGCCATCAGATGTAGTGCTAAACAATTTTGTCCACCTGAAGCCTAGAAAGGTAGAGAAGAAAGTGAATGGATATACATAGATAAGGCAACTGAAAACGCACGACAGTACTTTCAGACAGAACTTATATTCGGGTGAATGTTTTACAAGGATACCAATTAGAATACTTGAAAAATGCTTCATGTATCACTAAATAAACTGTCAAATAGTGAAAACGTTCTTGGAAAAACGAACAATAATTTTGAGTGAACGCACAGCCTATCCACGAATATGCAAGTAGTATGAAACGTTTAATGAAAATAGTGTGCTTCATATTTTGACCCTTCGAACACTAGCCATGAAGCACAATATTCCGAGATGATATAATCCGCACACTTTACTGACAGCTAACTGAATAGACGAGAAGACTGAACTGGATGAGACAGTTGATTCCTCCTACAAGAACAGACCATTAACCTAAAAACATGCGTGTATAAATGCGTGACAATCTGAAGGGGAGACACAGCCTACTGGACACAAGATCAGATCAAGAAAGGAAGCAGATGTAGGTTCACACAACTCACTATCTAGTGCAAAGGACCTTCAAAACCAACTGGAAAGCCTCCAAAGAAGCTGGTGATGGTAGACCACAGTCCAAGTTCAACACCTAGAAACTGGAGGACAAAACTACAACGGACATCTTTACGGCAGCCGTCAAGACAAAATGGGAGATATCGAGCAACACCCCTGAAGAAACCTGTGTGGAAGAATACTGGAAGTCTTTGAAAGAGATGTGGAAATAAACCTGCATAACCGTATTAAGAAAGAAGAAGAAACAAGATAGGACAAGGAATGGATCTCGATGGACACATGTAAGCTGACAGAGGAGGGAGAGGAGGATGGTGAAGCAGAAGATGAAGCAGTGCAGTACAAGCACGCTCAACGTCAAGAGGAACTGAGTACAACCTATAAAACACCACATCGGAAAAAGAAGTGAGGAAGAGTGCACAGAAATACAAAAGACACTTCTACGACAAATTGCCAAGTGAAGCAGAACAGGCTGCAGGTAGGAGAGACTGAGACCTGACAACATTATATCAAATAACCAGCCTACTATCTGGAAAGAGATCAACGCACATGAAACCAAGAAGAGATAGTGAAGGAAACCTTGCTATCAAAAAAGAGAAACAAAGGAAACTATGGGCTGATCACTTCAAAAAGCTCTTGAATCGACCACCACCTGAAATACGCCCAGAAATACCACCAGCAGCTCAGCCACAGAACTGCAAGTGAACGCAAACCCTCCTACGAAAGCAGAAGTCCTGAACGCCATGAAGTTACTGAAGGCCGGAAAAGCAGCAAAACCGGATGGAATTCCTCTAGAAGCACCGAAAACAGACGCAGAGACAACAGCGGACACGCTCACACCACTACTGCAGAAGGTTTGGAAGGGAAGAAGGAAGAAAAGGTACCTTTCGATTGGAAGAAGGGCTACCTTGTCAAACTTCCTAAGAAAGGAGACCTAAGTCTTTGCAAGAACTGGTGAGGAATCATGCTCCACCCTTGTCCACCCAAAGCAAGCAAAATATTATTCCTCATCATCACGGAGAGACTAAAAGATGCGCTTGATTCAAAATTACGACCGGTTTCAAGAACAACAAATCATGTGAGGATCAAATTACAACACTACGCATCAGCACTCAGCAAAGTATAGAATGGCAATCAACTGAACTCAACCTCAACTTCATCGACTTTGAAAAGGCCTTTGACAGCGTCGACCGAGAAGTAATTTTCCAGGCAGCTGCTTCTACACTATGGTTTTAGTGCCAAAAACTTTTATCAACCTCATTCAACGGCTATATGAAAAGGCAACATGCCAAGTGATTCACAATGGAAAGCTGAGTGACGCCTTCAAAGTGAAGACTGGAGTAAAACAGTGCTGTCATCTACTATTACCCACGATCTTCCTGATTGTAGTCGACTCGACTTGACTGGACTGGACTGAACTGGGTCATGCAACAAACTGTAAGGGGGAGAAGAGGGGTATACATTCGATCGGCGAAAAGACCCTAGAAAATTTGGATTTCGCCGATGATGATTTATGTCTTATGTGTAATGCCATTCAAACTCGAAAATCTACAGATAAACACCAACAAGTTGACAGAAGAGACGAAGCAGCGAAGACAGGACACCATCCAAGTGAACTTAGAGAAGACAGAGGTGATGAAGACACCCAACTAACAACAACATCAACAGCAAGCACCAATCATCATTAACGGGAGAAAAGTAAAGGAAGTAGTCTGTTTCACTTACCTAGACAGCATCATTTCAACTACAGGTGGCACAGATGAGAACGTCAAAGCAGCTAGGATTGGAAAAACAAGACAGGCGTTCATTAACCTGAAACCAGTATGGAGATCTCCACTCAGCACAAAGAACAAGATCTTGATTTTCAACACCAATTTCAGTCAAGTCAGTGATTTTATGTGATGGTTAAGAAACTTGGCGAGTTACGAAAAGCATTTCCAACAAACTACAGACATTCATCAGCAGCTGCCGCCTACGCTCGCTCAATACTTAAAATCAGATAGCCAGAAAGAATAAGCAACAAGGAACTCTGGCAACGAACCAACCAAGAACCTATTCCCCAACAAATATTCAGAAGAAAGTGGAGATGAATTGGGTATACACTGAGAAGACCGATTGGGGATATCACGCTCCAGTCTGAGCCATCGAGTTGAATCCAAAGAGGAAACGACAAGTTGGGCGTCCGAAGTGACGGTGATATGGAGATTATGTGAGGAAGAAATGAAAGCTTGTAGACAGTCGTGGAGCCAGGTTGAAAAGGCTGCAGAGAACAGAGTGCAATGGAGGCGTGCTACTGAAGCCCTATGTTCCACTAGGAACCCAAGGGAAAAATAATAATATGTGTGACATGTGACCTCATCCAGAATTCGAAACAAGCATCCAATAACTAGTCAGTGAATTATCTTGAGAGTAAGGGGGGTAAACTGCTAGCATGCCATAAAAATGGAAGGAACACAGCGGTTTAAAAATCCTTTGATTAGTAAAGAATGTTTCATCCAATCTGAGGCCTTCCAACAAAGTAGCATATAGCTTATTGACACGGAAAGATACCTAACTCTTGTAGTAAACGAATTAGAATAAAGTCTTTTAATTTGAACAACCGCAGGCAGACCAATCATCCCTCATACACATCCCTCTTCAACACTAAGGAAGATTACCTAATTGGTTGAAACAACTGCATCTCCATGCTTCATTTGCTGAAAGGGAGTAAAGGCTCATTCTTGAAAGGTATAAGAAATTAAAATTAACTAGAGAATATTCTCCGGAGTTGTCTTGATTCAACTGGTATTTTCACTGTTACTGTACACCGAAGTTTTATCAACCTTTACAATAGGTTTCCACTAAGTTCCAAATAGATGAACTTATTCTCTTGAAACTAGAGAATGTCTTTCTTGAACCATTTATTAGGGAATTTCCATTTTACTTTTCGGTATATGGATGATATGTTCATCTTGTAGGACAACAATATGGATAGGCTAAAGATACTTAGCGGATTCAACGCAGTACACCTTAGGGTGAAGTTAATATGTGGTGAAGAGTCAGAAGACAAAATAACTTCGTATGATATTCTTCTCTCAAGATGAAGTTTTCTTAGAAGTAAGTGCATGGGACAATGCACACATTTTCTTAGCTTCATCTCCCTTCAGTATAAACGAAATCTGAAGACTCTAAGTTGCAGAATAAAGGCAATATGTTAGGAAGATAAAATTTAGGAGGAATTAACCGCTTGTACAATACACTAATCAAAAATGGCTACTCTTATAAGTTCATAAAGAGATATATGATTAAAAAATGATAAGAAAGAATATTCCAACAGTTAGCAGAAAGCAGCTATATATTCCGGTACAATTAGGAGGTGACGTGCCAACGGAGATATTAATTACAACCCATGCAGATCAATTCGAAGAAATTTTACTGCTGGTAAATCATATATTATGTTTCCAGATGCCCAATGATGATAGCGAGACTGAAAGATGAATTGCCCAAACTGGTCACTTCCTGTTGTGTTTTTCAGTTCTACTCCTCCTAAGGAAACAGTTACGTCGGTCACTTTTCTGGGAATGTAGTTTTCCGTGCTCACAAACACCTCCCAGTATGGTTAGGCAAAGGTGTGATAAAAACCACTACCAGTTATAATATTAACACACTTGCTTCAAAACAACCATAAGATGGATATGAATGAGTCCTTTACCATCCTCTACTGGGTTCCCATCAACTTGTCTAAACATACCTGGCTCCGAATCCTTCAACCTACAGAAGCAGCGGAAAACAGGATTAAACAACAAGAGTTAAATGTTCAAAAAAAGCAGGTGTTGCCACTACAATCAACTGGACCTAATTCGGGACTCACAAATTCTTTAGCATTTTAATCCAGGTAATCTTAGGTAATCTGAAATGATTTCATAACATTCTCTTGACTTATTTCGTTCCCTAACATGAGTAACATTCCATCAAGCTATTATTTTTCAAATTACCCATCTTTGTTTATTGCGTCTTACTTTCATGCACACCCTTCCATTGTTTTACTAAACTATCACTATAGCATTACATTATCCATATAATCAATGATTTTGAACTGAATTCCAGTGATAACTGAGCCTGGCATTACCGTTTATGCAAGACTTCTGAAGTGATTTCCTCAACTGCATAAAATGAATAACAAGCTGTTAAACGAAAACTAAATACTTCCAGCCTAAAATTACACAACAAGAACATAACCCTGTAGTATCTGAAGAAAAAACAATCGAAATTTATACTTTTTGTCCATTCAGACGGCTTTTAAAGAGAGTTTATTGAGTATAACATGCCCCTTTTTAGTAATGATCGTTTAAGAATCACTGAGGTTAAACATTTTCCACCCTATTTATTCTTTATAAAAGTGAATAGTGTGCAAACGAAGTTCTGTAAACAGCTCTCTAATAAGCGTTAGAACGCAAAACGGACAATGGTTTGTCGATATGATCTATAAAACACTCGTTTTAAACAAAGATTTGTGGATTTACCTTCTTGGTTTTTGCTCGCTTGTTCTGAAACCATATTTTTACTTGAGATTCCCTCAAATCCAGTTCTTTGGCCAGTTTCTTACGACGAACTTCATCAAGGTAACTAAATCGGTGAATTCCAAGATAAAAGTATTCACATTGAAATTTAAGAAAAAAGTGAGAAAGATACAAAATCTTGTTTTAGTAATAGTGAGAATGGAAAGGATACAACTACGGGGTTACTTGATGATTTATTTATCAGATTTTTTTTCTATATTAAAAGAAGACATTTTTGCCAAACGCCACTTAAATTTATAACGCTACTCAACCTCATAAACAAGCGGCTTTCCGAGGAAATGCAGAAGAATCTAACATACTACACCTTATAAGCAAACTTTTGTACTTATTCCAGAATATTTTAAGGATTATCTCAAGACGTAGTCATTACCACATTAAGTGATGAACCTTATTTCGCCATCAGTGAAAATACTCTTCATATATCCGAATAGGATAAAGATTCTAGGCTCAATCGATTTGAACATAGATGTTCACTTTCTTAGATTACAGTAGCCACCTATCTAGATTTAGCAGGTGACTCAGTGCAGCTTGTCATCTGATGCTTATATGCGTCGGAAAAATATCAAACGTCATGGCTGCAAGTAGCAACGGTAGGATGATAGTATTTGTCATCTATGTGGACATTATTACTAAAAAATGATATAGGTTAGGCTGGAGCCTACGAATTACTGTAGAATATCTCTTATTTTAGTCTTAGTTGGAGGGTTTTAGCTTAGTCTTTGCAGCTTACTAATTTCTTCTAACAAGGTGAACAATTTTCTCTAACTCAACTGGTAAGCCGTAATTAACTTTTTGAGATGACTTATATATAGATTTATTGAATTATTTCTCACAGAGACAGGGGCACTGACCTGAAAAGAGTATCTATCTATAACGGTTATCGCATATTTTACCATTTGTGTGATAGAACAGCTGATTTCCAAAGAATCCTATCTGTTATCTGGTAGGGAAGTTCAGACTACAGTACTACATTAGTCCATCACTCAGAAAATAATTTATCACGTTTTGGAATCAGTTAGCCACTCCTTCTTAAAAGGCACAAGTTTCTTCTAATTTGAGAGGACTTGATTGTTATTGAGCTTTTGACGGAACGATTAATTTCAAAGTACTCACCACTGATAGACAGACAAAGTTATTAAATGAAATAAAAATGATGGCGCTGCTGACATGAGAACATTTAAATTTCTTTGATGAACTGAGACTCTCTAAATTTGTGAGAATGAAGTCCTTCAGGAAAAAGAGCAAGTATTTTACAACCCAGAATCCATTCTTCAGAATATAGAACTCCCTGTCAACAATTCAGTAGTTCTATATTTAAAAATGCAATCATTATTCAGACCTATATATATATATATATATATATATATATATATATATATATATATATATATATATGAAAAGCTATTAGTTTTTCTTGTCAATGAAATTCACCAGAATTTCTAGGTGCCTAATGCTTCAGTATCCCACTGGGTTCTGACCAAGATAGGTGACATAGCTATCTAAATAACACAAGGTGTCAACATTCTAGAAAAAAATTGGTATTGTATGCTATCATGATTACTGTAAATCAGTTCATTTTAATGTCTGCTTCAAAATTCCACAACAGAACCTCAGGTAAATAATCGCTGAACTTTTAGTAAATTTAGGTGTAGAAAGCATTACTAGCTTATCAAAGATATTATACAGAGTTTGAACCATGTGCAAGAAGTTTACATGGAAGTGCAGCAGGTATAAGGAGGTGGCTGTAGAGCTTGTCGATGAACTCAATCATTAAATGCTGATCTAAAACTATAATAATTCAAAACTTAATGCTAGAATTACGCATAAAAATCTGGAGTGAAAACATGAGATTTCTCTAAAATGCATTTCACTATGAAAAAACAGATATAATTAATAGTAAGACCACAGACTTTAGATCATGAAGTGTTTAGATATCTATAACACATCATCAAAAGCATTTTGTAAGTGCATCATCAAATAAAATAAGTAGCAGAAGGCTATGTCAAACGCAAATGACACATGAGAAGGAAGGGTATGCATAAACTCAAGATTAGCAGAGGAGATAAAGATTAAGAATAAGTTCAATAAATGACATGATAAATATGAGAAGATCTGGAAAGACTGAAGTGAAGTCACAAAATGACACAAAAAGCCAACATGCTCACTCTCTAAACCTAAATATGCTGTAGAGAAATGCTATGTGCAACGGCAAGCATAAAACATTAAAATGATAGGTATATTTACTACTACTTGTTATTACCAAGTAATATAAATTTGACAGAAAAAAAACAGTGTCAGCCAAGTGACATGTAATTCACTAATAATGGGATAAAAAAGGAGTTTGAGTAACAGTCTACTTTATTTAATCCAACTCTAGGTTTCTGATTTACCCATTAAAATGGTTTACTGCAAACACCCATTCACAATGATGCATTTTCACGGTTTAGACTAAATTCATGCAGTAACTTACAAGAAAAATTTTAAATACATTCTGTAGCGGGTACTTTTCTCTCCCAAATCACATTTCATGCAAGATCTCCAATAGTGTGCTCTTACAAACCACTACTTCGTAAGCAGTGAGTGCATAATAATACTATCTCCTGTAACACAGAAGAACCAATACAACTCGTATGCATCTTGCTGAATAAATACCAGTCCAGTTCTCGAACTCAAACATGAAATGCATGTAAGAGGTTCAAATGTTTTGTAACACAACTGTGAACTCCCATACTACACCACCAATACAGACTAGACAACAAATAAGCCACTAATAGCTTGTCTTTAGATATCGACGTAGGAAGGGGGATCTGACTATCTCGGGATCAGGCTGATAAGCACCCAAAAAGCAGCTGTCCCTTCCAATGTAACTCTCCTGAGAACTTTATGCATCCCACCTAGGCTCTACACAACTCAGTCATATAAAAACACTGCAGAGATGTCTTCTCATCAGCTTGAGCAATGTAGCACTTCTGCACACTTCTCTCCAGCATGTTACATTCAGACCAAATAAAATCCTGCCAACAGCTGGTCGTTACAGTCTCCAGCTTGACCAGAAATCAGTGATGTCAGTCAAGGAAGATTAAACTTAAACTGAACTTGGCAGATATCTCCCACAGCTCTGACTTTTACATAACAAGTTAGGATGCTGATTTGATTCTCAATTCCTGTTCATTTATCTTCCAGTGCCTTTCTATTAAATGATTGTATCAGTTTCTTATGAATTCTTTAAGTGAAAGATTCCTGGTCATTGAAGATATAATTTAAACTACTACTCTAACAAACTGACCACTTGCTTCTCCTTGTGTTTCTTCTGAGTCTTTCTGTGATCAACTGCTTGAAGATGCCGAAAATGTTTAGTTTTTTATCTAGATGGTATCTGGATGTCATTGTTATTAATTTCACGTCTAAAGATGTACTACTTTGACGAAATGCAAGTAGCTTGAAGCAAAATTCAGAAAACCACCTTTGTCACACTTTTGGAAGGTGATTATTCTATTCAAACACAGAAGGAACTTGTCCTTACACCTGTACGAATTCGATGGATGAAAGATGTGAATTAAGTTGATATGTTAACTGGGGATATCACAAAAACTAATAGTGCAACATACCGGTTCTGTTCAAATTCCTGACTCAAACGTTTGAGTTGCGGAACAGTGAACGAAGTTCTTGGTCGCTTTAAATTAAGTTCATCATGTGACCGATTCATCCGCGGTTTCCTTATTCTTGGACCTGAAATGCAAACGAACAAAGATTGTACGAATAATCTCAGTCGGTTTTTATCCTTAAACACATGTTATGAGGCATGCCAAAATTAATAATCCAAAAAGCTTACAACGATTTATGCTAACTCACACTCCTGAACCCTCCATACAAAACAAGTCTGGACAACTTTAAAACTATTTACTTAACTACACTTAGCTCTCTTGAAGCCTGCTTGAACTTTGGGCTATCACAATATACTGCATCGAATTTCTCCTTTCTATATTATTTTAATGGTTCACTTATGTCAACTAGTCACGATGAAAGGAAAGGTTGTATAAAAAGTAGAGATCACCCTGGCGTCAAAAGACCTAACTGCCTAATTAAGTCTGAAATACAACGTCTGGATACTAATTACAACAAGAAGTTTCTGTTTCGTAGGAACTCTTCCAATATATGGAAACCATTTAAAGAGCTTACTGGTAGAAAACAGATGACAAAAGAAGCCTGTTCGGATGTCTGCGCGTTAAACAAGTCATTCATACGTCGGCAAGCTAATTTCATGCTTCCTAATGTCCAAAGTCAAATGGTCAGCCACTTTCCTATTCTTGATACACATGATGTATTTAAATGTCTTAAATTCTTTAATCCATCCCAAAGCTTAGGTCCAGATGGTATTTCTAGTATTATACTCAGAAAATGTACAGATCTCTTATGTTGTCCCCTTACAGATATCTTCAATGTATCATTTTCTTAAAACACAATACCCGCCGCTTGGAAAGCGATCAAAGTTGAATCCGTGCATAAGTCATCTTCCGGATCAGATGTTACGTTACGGCCCATTGCTATAACTTCCTCTTTTCTGAAGACATTGGAGAAATTATTTATCCTTGTGACTGGGCCTTCATTTTCAAAGATCCGAAATAATTTGCTCACAAACACAGGAGAAGTACTTTAGATGCTGTCACTGTCTTGCATCATAATATTGTTTCTAGTCCAGATAAAGGTGTTAAGTATGTTCGTTGTGCCTTTATTGGACTACTCGTCGGCCTTTGACACTGTTCCTAGACCACTTTTGTTAATTAACCTTCCGTTACTCATACAGAGTCATGGGTTACAAAGTGTATGTATTCTAATTTTCATAAAAGGAAACAGTATACTGTCTCTAACGGGAGGTGATCCACTTCATTGCTTACTGAAGCTGGTGTGCCTCAAGGTGGTGTACTTTCTTCTTTTCTGATTTCATTCCTCCTGTATGATTTACCTTATTCTGTCGAAACTAATTTTATTAAGTATGCTGATGACTTGACGGTGTTTATTCCAGTCAACTCCCACTTAGATTGTTCTAAATTAAATGGATTCTTGTCTCTTATTGACCAATGATCTCTCTCAAATGGTCTCAAGTTAAACCCTTTTAAATGTCAGACTGTTAGTTTTAGCCTCAGGTGTAAACAAAACTTGTGTGAGCTGTTTAGATCTCATGACGCCTGTTGCATTGGTGGTATTTCCGCAAAAAGTAAATTGACTGTCAACTATCCTGGATTGAGTTTTACTTGTGGTCTTTGTTGGTCGTCTCATATCTTGCTGACTTGTAAAAAACCTTTCGTTTAACGTATTACATAAGGAAACCGAGGCTCTTTGATATGACTCAACTTCTACTTTTACAATTTATTAATTCCTGTATTTTACCTATTCTTCTCTATTGTTCCCCGTTGATCTTACCTGGTCTTTTAAAAAAAGGACTATGTTATATTGTGTAGGGCTTTCAAAAACCATAAGTAGAGTGAGTGCTGTGACACTGACCCAACTGATTAACACTTCATTTAATAGACATTTAAATCCCAGTAAGCAACTAGCAACAGTAATTTTAATTGACACTGAGCATCCACTTCATTCACAGCTCTCTCCTTGTATCCCCTCAGGGAGGACAAAAAAAAGCTACATAAGACTGTACGCTCGTACAGCCTTGTACAAGAATTCGACTGTACCTTACCTAGAACGCATATTATTTGAGGAAAAAGGTGTCAGAAAAGAACTCACAAATCAACAGTTTCAATAATTTTATTAATGGTGTAGAATATTCTGAATTTCAATATTCTTTACACCACTTAGATTCGTATGACAACACATTTCGAAATGTTGTAATGGAGTACATACATACATATATTTTGTTTTTGTTGTTGTTGCAATATATCATACTGAGAATTCCAAACTGTAGCAAAAATTATTTGGAACAAAGCAAATTATTATTATTGTTATTATTATCAACCCTTAAATAGTCTGGATTTAGCTGGTGGTAAACGACCCTCTTCATCTATAGCTAAACATACCATAAAAGCAGGTCACAAAGTTGGCTGAAAATGTTTTTCTTACTTGTTTACTCAGATATTACTTGCAGTCGAAATCTTCAATGGATTTATTTCCCAGTTTGTCAAACTTCATTAAATAGCATATTTCTCAGTGTTACGCAAGCATTTATTCAGATTTCACCAGTTTTATACGCATACATATGCACAAGAGACTGTTTGCAACAGGACATAGGGATTTAGATAAATTAAATTTATTCATTTATGCCATTTTGATTCTGACTTTTTCTATTATATCATCAAGACAGGATTTTGTCCCAAATTCTGTTTGTTTTACTTCTACTTAAATCATATACGTAGGATTTTTCATAGACACATTCCATTGTGAATAATATCCCACTTTAATAAAGGAGCATAAAACTCACTTTCTCATAAACATCATTTCCAGCTATCCTTTATCATCTTCGCTTACTTTTATGTGTCACTGAAGTTATTTGCCCTCACAATTGCTGTTTTACTGAAGGATATACTGATGCATTTCCAGTTTTGATGGATCATCATTTGTGATTGATGACTGTCTAATCCATCATCATTTTATTTTATTTTTTTGCTGTAGCCGTAAAATCAAACATTACCACTTGTTTACGAATAACCTCGATTGCATCAATGATATTGATTAATTCAGAGGATTGTAGTCAGTTTCTTATTTGCCTCACTTTATTACTTATAGCAGAAACATTTAACTGTAAATTGTAAGAAACATTTGTATATTTATATTTACCATCAACTAGGTCCTACCTGATACCAGTCTAAAGTACATAGTTAATAGGACATTCGAAGGAATATCTTAAGATCTTTCAGACTTCTTTTTATGACTATATTAAAGTTTTGTAATTCACTATCCAAGGTACTCAATTTTCATTGCCAACCATAACACAGCATTTACAGCACATAAGATTATGCTTTGTAATCTATTTAGATTTTATACAAATCAAGTACTTAATTCATAAATTCCATACACACAAACCATAACTTTTCCAAATAGTCGAATTATAATGAAGAATATTGATGGTAGAATTTAGTCTAGCTTTCAAAATAGCATAGCAGAGTGGATATAAGTAGTATATGTTGAGAGTGCAGTAGAAATTGTACGGAATTACCAGTAATACGTAACAATTCTACCCAGAGAAAGGCTAGAGGCAACGCGGACGTATGAAGAGTAAATCAAAGGAGAAGCGGAAGAGGAAATGAAACACATTTCGCAAATGATGGTTTTAGTGAAAGGTGTACTGTACCACATGTCAACATTCCTTCCTTTGTCTTTGTCTTCTCGTTACCTCCAGTACTTCTTTCGAATTTGTAATCATAGACAGGATTAGAAGTTTAACCTTGATAGCTTTAAAATTGCAAACTGGATCATCTTATTACTCTCACCATTCTTAATCTGTCAGGATACTGGTAAAACCTTTAAATTACTGTATTTCTACGAAATATTCGGAAAGATGTAGGACTTGACTATAATGCCGGTATCCGCCATGTTGTCATTTAAGCTTAATATGACATTCTAGATTAAAAATACTACAACTAATGAAGACATCAGTTAAAATTACGCTCAAAATTATTCATTTCAAACACTGTCTGAACGGGATATTAGAAACTAATTTCAGTCACACCACATAAAGCTAACATAGTAGCATACCGGATATCGGTCGTGCTCGGCTATATACTGATACATATGTTTTACCGCCAAGCAGATACTGCCTTTCACTTTGACAAATGAAAAATTCAAGCTATCAGTCAACAATTCCGGGAATATTGATGAGAAATGTCATCAATGAGTCAAGAAAATGTTGCAAGATAAACACTATGAAAACCTGAAAACAATCAATGGTCCGATAATTTTAAATTGGATTTCCTTATGTATCCTAGTGCTGCCATCCCTTTTCAAGAAATCTCAAGTTAAATGAGTTTATTCAAATCATCGGTGTTACCATGCAATAGTTTCTCTCAAATAACTGAAATGGCCGCTTTCTGCCTAATATTTCTATGTCAGATTTTCTAGTGACCAATCAACAAAAAATGAGGTTTCCAACTGATTATTTGAAATTTCAAGCTTCTAGGATTCTTACATGGAATTCATAAATTTTATTCTGTAAATAAGATTTAAATATTTGAGTACATTGTCAGTATCAGACTGAATGCTCACTGAGACAATTCAAAGTGGACAAGTTCACAACTTTTGCTACTTCCAGTTGTATCTACCAATTCACATATACGTGCCAAAGCACATTCGTTAGAAGGACAGAGACATTGGCTCTTGTTCGCGTTTCTGAACATATCCTCAAGAATTTGAGTCTTAAAGGTTTACAGGGTTTAAATAGTGCATTCGCTTGGCATTAACTTGATACTGGACATAAAGTCGACGCACTAAAGTCATTCAAAGCGATCAATAAACAACTGAAACCCACCGTTTTGCGATTGGTTGAAGTACTTGCAATTAAAGAACCTTAATCTATGTATTTGGAAAGATACTGTTGTCAGTCTTGCGTTATCTTCGTCATTTTAGTCCCCTAAATTCATAACTGCAAAATTTCGTGACCTCATGATCCTCTGTTGTTTGGGGTAGTTTAAAGGCCGCCCTAGCAAAAATCAAAATAACCAATTGGGTTTCTTCATTTTGGCTAGAAAGGTCGATTTTCATAAAAGAGTAGTCTAGCTGGTTAT